TTACATCTTTGTTTAAGGTCCTGCATGGAAAAGAATGAACTCTTCTTTCAATCCTGGGTCCCTAAACCATGCTACCTTAAGAAGAGAGTGTTCTTTTGTGCTTTGTTTAATCCCCTGGGCACTCAAGTAGTTGGAGAAGTGGACCTGTTTCTGCGTTCCTCAACCAAGCCTGTTGGAGAGCATCAGCTTAAGTTATTTCAATGAAAGTAAAAGGGGGAGTGCACGATTCATGGAAAAGCACCCAGAAGCAAAGAATGCTGATGTGTCTGCTTTTCCTGATCCACATTTAAAGCATATATATATTTTTTTTACCGTTGTCAGGGGTAGGCCAACAGCAGAGAAGACTCGCAGCTTTAGAAATGCCCTTGAATGAAGTGTGGAGTTGAGTTAAAGTTTCCAGAGTCCTGGTGATAATGGAGCCTGCATGCTGGGCAGGCTGTAACTAAATTCTCAAGGTTGCTTTCTCTTCCAGACCCCTTTGGTCCCTTACTGTCCTTTTCATCTCTCCATTTCTTTGTCTGGGTACTAATAAAGATCACTGAAAATGCTTTCCCAGTGGTTTTAAAAATGTAGGAACGGATAAACATCTATTAGGCAGGATGCTGGGGGGATAGCAGTGCTTTGGATTTATGTTCTGGAGAGATAATGGTTACAATGTATTTTTATCCTGTTGATTTTGAAACTATGTATGTATTTTTTTTTTTTTACATCTGTAAGACTAATGTGTGATATGCAAAGCAGCGTAAGCAACCTTTTGATTACCGACTACTTTGGTTCCTGAATGTTAGTGTTAATTTCTAGTCACAATAGGGCAGCTAGCTAGTTTAAGGATGTTATGCTCATGGGACACACTGAAGGAAACTCTAACTATATCTTGTTTTTGTTTGTGTGTTTGATTTCCTGAGTTGCTCTGTCTTAGAGATAAGTTATCATTAATTATCTAGAGCTTTCCCCTACACCGTAACCAGTCACTGGTCATGAAACTGTTGCTTCTTCCTTCTTCATAGACTTCCAGCTCCTTTTATGTTTCCATCATCTGAGTTCTCTGTGCCTTTGTTGCTTCATGCACACAACTTATTTCAACCTAAGAAGTGGCTCTTCAAGACAGCATCCATCCTCACTTGTTTCCAACCTAATGTTCTTCACAAATTCCTACAACACACAGGCTATTTGTAAAGCATTGACCAGTTGGTATTCCTGAAATAGAGAGAGCAGGAGAATACAGAGAGAAAATTCCAGGCAGGCTCTGCACTGATAGTGCACAGCCTGATGCAGGGCTTGAACTCATGAACCATGAGATCATGACCTGAGCCGAGACCAAGAGTCAGACACTTAACCAACTAAGGCACCCAGGCATCCCTCAAACATTTTGATGAGTCACTATTGCTCCCAGGAGGAACTCCTAACCGTTTTGTGTAATTATCAAGGCCTTATAACCACATCCATCTATTCCCTGGAGAATAAACTCCCAATTCCCCAGACTGTCCCACTCTTTCTTCCTAAACATATATCCTGTGCCAGGCCTTTGCTTTTTTTTCATTATGCTATGACACTCTCTCTCTCTGCCGTCTGTTCAAACTTTGTACTTCCTTCTAGACATTGCTGGGTCTTATTTCTTCATCAAGCCTTCTTTATTGACCCAAGCCTTCTGTGTAGCCCATATATTTCTTAAATGCTGCCACCTGACTGCCTTATCTTCCTAGCCATCTTGAAGTGCTTTATACACATTTAGGGGTGCCTGGGTGGCTCAGTCAGTTAAGCATCCAACTCTTGATTTCAGCTCAGGTCATGATCTCACAGTTCGTGGGTTTGAGGCTGCATCAGGCTCTGTGCTGATATCATGGACCCTGCTTGGGATTCTCTCTCTCTGCCCCTCCCCTGCTTGTGCTCTCTTTCTCTCAAAATAATAAATAAGTGAATATTTTTTTAAAGTGCTTTATACACATTAGTGGTAAAAGATAGATGATAAATAGATGATAGAGATAAAGATAGATGGAGATAGAGCTACACATAGACGTAGACATAGACATAGATTTGTTTACTTCTTCCCAGAGTAAAGAATGGCAATAGGCCTATCCAATTAAGGATTCAAGGTTTCTTGCAAATTGGTGAAGTACAGTATTATTGTGTATCTTTTCCTACAGGTCCATGAGCAATAATGAATTAAAATAGGCTGTCTTTGTCATGGTTATGAATAAAACCAACATTTTCTTTGAAGTTTATTGTATGTTGTATATATTGTAATCTCATTTATGGAAATTGATTTGTCCAAGAGAATGCTGCTATCTAAATCTGTATAATTTTAAATGGTGCTATGAATGAGTTAGCTCATTAATTCATAATATCAAAATTTTATGGAGCATGTACCAAGTTATTCTGGAGTTGAGTAGGCAAAAAGCTTGCCTTGAATCTATGAGTTCACATACTCCTTGGAGATAAAGGAACATAAATAATTACTCTGTGATAAGCACTACAACAAATCATACATAAAGGCTGAGGAGTTCATGAACAAAAGACTGACCATGGTCTTATCTGGAATGGCAGTGATTCATCTGCACTATATAAAATCAGATTTAATAATTTAGATAGAAATCAGATTGAGACATTTTCTCCATATTATCCTAAGAGAGTGGTCAGTATGCCCATGGGAAAAAAAAATGACTACATTGAATTAATGTAACATAGTGTAAAAGGAAGACTTTTAGAATGGTACAGACCTGTGTTTGTATCCCTAGACCTGCCACTTTTTAGATGTGTGTCCTCAGGTCACCTAGCATCTCTGAATCAGTTTGTAGAAGGGAAGTCTCCTTGCAGAATATGTGTGAGTGGTCAAATAAGAAAATACATGTAAATTGCATGTCTTGGTCTACTGGTGTGAGATCTAGGCCACTGGGCCACTATGCTGACATTATTACACTTCTTAGGTTTTCTAAGTCTTTCTTTTTCCCCTTCCTTCTCCACTCTGACTACAAAAA